TCACTTTACCTTGAAACATGCTGCATCCGCAGTGACAAGGGACTGAACTATTCCCAGCATGCACTGGCTAAAGTAGAGCAAGTCAATAAACATTATTATACGAATAGCTCAATTGCACCCTCTAGTGCACCTAAAGCTACAGTGCAGACTTCAATTAGCTGAGTGCAGCTTTATTTGGAGTCAGAAAGAGCATCTAACATTAATATGAATCTTATATGGATTTGAGATGAAGATGTCTCAATGCTGCATCTGAGTAGAAATGTATTCTTTTCAGGAATGTAATGCCACAATGTATTTGTGAGTGGTGATTAGAGAGAGAATAAGCCAATATTTGAAAAGGCATTGCACATATCCTAAGTGTATTTGATGCTTATTGTTGGTTGTTAGGTTCCGATCTTGTTCAAGCCTGTCTAGTAGAAATGTCAACTAAGATACAGCGACCGTGCCAGACGTTCATAGATCATAAACAGCTTTTAAGATAAGCACTAGAAACCTTGATTCTTTATTTGTATATTATATAGTTTCAGAAATGTCCCACACTGGGATTAATAAAGTATATATTGTATTTTTAAATGATAAAAAAAACCATGTCCTGAGTGCCTAAAAGCTATTGTTTCTACCTCTCAGCCCCGCAGTGCAGGTAAGTGAGGGTCAGATCAGAAATAGCACAAATTACCTTAAAAAGAGGGCAGTGAAAGAGGTTGTGCTGACTTTGATGCTTGAATAGTTTCACTAATGACCATGAAGTTTTTGAGGATGAGCTATGCTGGATCACATGGAGAGCATGACAAAAAGACACATAGAGACTTCATGAAAGGCTATGCATAATCATGTTGATCTGCAACAATAAATTCATTGTGAATTTAGAAACATTAGATATAATGAAGGAGTCTATATTGTGTACATGTCTTTTACTTGTATTTTTTTATATCAAAACTTGGATAGCGTTTCCCAACACATGCTTCACATAATGTCAATACATTATACTTTTCTTTATAAATAAGACTTATCGTTCAAACGCACATTTTAAACAAGCAAAACAACTAATCCAAATGAATTAGCTATTCAGCTTGAATTATTCAAAACACATTAAGCATTTTTAAAACCTTCTAGAATTGAATTGTTAGGGGCAATTTTTTCTTTTTCTAGTTTTGTTGATACTACAGCGAAGTGATCCACAACTCCTGATCAGACAAAAGGAATGAAACGGGATAAAATAATGGAAAATGGGAAATAAAGCTTGATTATTTGTCGTTATTAAAGCAGTATTAAACCATAATTTTCTGCTTGGACTCCACAAAATACATTTAAATTGATTTTATATGAGGAAATCACTTGACACTAATCTTAAACACCCACTACAAAGGTTATCTAAATGTATTTCTAGATACACTCACTCTGTAGGCTGGATATCCAACACTTTAAACTATCAACACTGAACTGCTCCAGAGAACAATGAGGGATTCACATCCCTCTGGCTCACACAAATGGACATGTGACGTCCCAGGACAAGAAACCAACCATTGTAGTTTTTGAGGGGAAAAAAACATCATGGTACCACTGTGTGACAGATCAGTCACTGCTATTCATCTTGACTTCAAGGCACAATTGTTCTGCATCCTCTCTGTTTTCCCACTCGACAGGCACTGGGTTAGTTTACATGATGAGCGAATAGCACATTAACTGCATGTACCACAACATATGGACACAAGTGGATTGCATATGTTACTGGAGGGTTTAGGGCATTCATGTGTAAACAGTTCCAGGTTATTGCGTAATGTGATAACATCATGGTGAATATAAATGCTTGTTTTAAGTCCTATAGGTTATAAAGGACTGTACATTAAGAGGAAGTGGCAACATTGTGTACTTGTGTATCTGGTGATACATTTATTTTTTAATTCTCACTTATTTTATGGTTTACTTATTTATCTTTTATCTCTTTTGTACAGCACTTTGGTCTGGATGTTTTAAAGAGCTTCACAGATAAAGCTGTATTGTATTGTAAGTCAATTTTGCATGGCAAGTGATAACAGAATATCAATAAGAGGGTGGGGTCAACACTCCTTCTCACTTCATTAATAGGTTGAGGTTCACTAACCACAACAACAGCCACTACTCTTCCTTCCTCCCCTCACAATCAGGTGATCAGCCCCAGAGGTGGCCACCTTTTCAGGGGCCGGTCGTGTATCTCGCCCCGGGTTGGAGGAGGGGTTGGTTGGTGGAGAAGCAGCAAGCATCGGCAGCAAGGAGGACTGTATGCACGGTCCTGGGGAGAGGAAGGGGCGCAGTATGGGTTGACTGATCGGAGATCCTCTTTGGGTTTTTATTGTCTTCAATGATGGATGAGCCGAATATCCTGAGACGCCGCGGTCTACAGGTAAATGGAGACTTCATGACAGCTCGGGTGGCTGTTTACACGCAAACTAGACGCTATGAAATGTTGATCATGAGCCATTGGCGAGGATCGATTTCTCCAAGAACCGCGTTTCTATATTTTGTAATTTTTCTTCTGGCTTTAAACATGTTATTATCTGTAGAGCTCAATTATCTGGTGTCCATTCATTAAAACAGCCTGTGGCACCATTGTGAATTGTAGTACATAATTGCTGCACATAAATGACTGTCGGTCTTACACGTGTTTATTTTGGAGCTGTCCATTGGCACTATAGTGTAGCTGGTTGCCTTGGTGACAGGAGCTTAAAACCCCAAGGGTGCCCGCCGCCCGGATGATTGGCAGTAGCCTACATCCCTTTAATCTTCTCCTGGATGCCTGGTTTATTACTCACAAATGTACAGAACGAGAATAATGAATGCTTTTTTCATGCTCTATAGTTCATTCATGTGTATATTTTCTGCATAAATGGGGTGGGAGCTGCATTGTTTTCTTCCCCCTGGTCTTTTATGAAAGGCTCACGGGTCCACACTGGGTGTTTCCATCCACTTATTATAATTGGTTTCTTTCCTTTCTTGCAATAATCTGCAATTTAAATGTAAGTGCAGGCCTGCCATTACAAATAATGCTAATGGTGGATGTGGGGAAGTTATTGTTCCCTAAATTAGTATGTTGTGTGAAATACACACAACAACAAAAATATTAGAATAAAGAACTACAAAATGAAACGTGGACATTAGTGATAAAGCTCAAAGTACAGTTTACAGACCAGATGTTTTGGTGTGTTACAATACCAGCCTTGTTTGTAATTGTGACTGAGACAATAACAAGTCACTTTCTGAGACTTCTGAGATCTTTTGGAAAAATGTAGAGGATGAAATCAGTATAGCCTCCGAATATTTTTTGTTCAACTGTTCCCTGTCAATCCTGATTGGCAAGGGTAGGGTTGCAGTTGCCTGAGCTCAAACAGCGATGGGCTCGTGAGGATTTGTATCCTGGTCATTAAATGACTCGACGACCCACTTGTCATGCAAGAAACTAGGGCAATCTGCAGATAATGTGATTACTGCGTTTAAAGGAATATGCGTGGGATTTATAGAAAAGGGTAAGCATTTTATGAATGCATGTTGTGCCTGTTAAGGTGTCAAAATATCATGCATTCCTCAGTGTTTATTATGAGGAGTAAGCTTTTCATACCAGCAGAATTTATTTAAATATCACTATCCCTAGATGAGGAAAATATATTGAAGTCCCTTTGCCAAACACTGAAAACCCCATAGCTGATATCTGCATGTCAAAGCAATGTTTCCAGCATTTTTGTGTTCTCATTTCAACATTTCAACGTCTTCTTTTCTAGAAAGAACTGAGTCTTCCTCGCAGGGGAAATGTGTAAGTATTACCAACTGACTTATTATATGCTCTCTTTGTCTCTGTCTTCTTTTGCACCCCCCTTTTCTCCTCAAACCTGCCCAGCCAGGTGCCTGTCATTTATCAGCTTCATTGTGCTTGTGCTTGTCCGGCAGTGGCTCAGTCAGTAGGGGCTTGGACAGGGAGCTGTAGGGTTGCCGGTTCAAGTCCCCGACCAGACCTAAAATGTGGAGTGTGGACTGCTACTTGGAGAGGTCCCAGTTCCCTGCCGTGGTGCCCTTGAGCAAGGCACTGGACACCCCCCTTCCCCCCTCACTCCCATTGCTCCCCGGGCGCTGCCCACTGCTCCTAGTACTACTCCTGGTACTAGGATGGGTTAAAAGCAGAGAACACATTTCACTGTGTGTGCTGTGTGCTCTGCATGTGTGACCATTAAAGAGGGTTTCATCCCTCCCCAATTCTATTCTAATTCTACTTGACTCTCTGTTGAGAGACAAGAACTTCTGAATCTGTTAATGAGGATTGCCTGAAAGGTAGAGCAGTCTCACCGCTCGGACAGGTTTGACGTAAACTAAAGAGGGAGAGCAGAGATAGAGATGAAGCACGAGAGTCTCAGTGGGAGAATTACTGTATGTTTGGAATATTATTGCTAAATAGTCATGCTTATTGGAATATACATTACGAATCAGTTTTCACATTTTGCTACAGCGCAGTCAATAATTAGCTGTCTATGTGATTATATATTGAAATATGTGAACCTACCAGACAAGCTGAGCCTGCTCTAACATGTTAATCAATGTTTGTTGTTTCTAAAGGTTTTTCCTGAGGTACTTACTTGGGGATTAATTGGACATTTACACTAACAGTTCTTATCAAGCTGTGTCAACAGAGGAGGGACACTTATGAACAGCATGAAGGAACCTGCTTCTGTGTTTCCAGCTAAAATAGGAGGCGCCTCAGTCAGATCAACATCAATCTCTTCCCTGTCTCTAACCTGTTCAGGGACTTCCCCTGGTCTTAAGAGAAGAGATTACCTCAGGCTAGTTTCCCTGTCTTTGAGTCACTCATACAGCAGATCACATCAATGTATTTGTTTGTGCCCCTTGCAAACTGCTTTTCCTTTGTCATTCATGTTTCCTTTTAGGTGGAATTTTAGGTCGGACAGTATTTCTCTGTTGCACCCTGTATGACTATGATTTTAAAACAGCTCACTTTATGGCAACACTATATGTTATTGATAAAGGTGCACCGTTTATTTCAGCCGAGACTCGATGTGTGTCTGTGGAAAATGGAAATTGATCTCATCATTAGCTAAAATGGTGTATTTTTAACTGGATTAAACTTGCTTGGGGGCTTAATGATCTGTGGGCCCCTTTTGACAATCCTTTGAATTAATTTAATGTAAGAAATGATTATGCAGCATGTGCATTTTGACTCAAATGCACATGCGCTTGAGTCAAAATATGCATTTCCAAGCATATTTGTTTGGAAATGGTAATTCCCAAACAAATATGCAAATAATCAAATGACGTGAAGCTGTAAATGAGTATACAAATAGCATAGCCCTGATTTTAAAACGGTGCCCTTCAGTGTTGGACAGGGTGTGGAAAAGAGGCTATGGCCGATCACGAACCTCAGATCCAGGACGAGCTGTTAGTATTCTCTCTTGGTTGTATAAAGGTAGACCAGTGCTCTAACCCTTACAGTGTTATTAAAGGGGTCATGGCAGTTTACTCACAGATGTTTTGGTGACTTAGGTTGAATTAGACAATTGTGGTAGCTGGGGTTTGTTCTGTGGTGGGTATTGCGGAAGTTTAGGGTACCAGATGTGTCTCAGAAGGATGTGAATAGCTTCAATGCTTGTTGGCTGTGAATAGCTTCAATGCTTGTTGGCTGTGAATAGCTTCAATGCTTGTTGGCCTCAGTGTTGTTGCTTGTCCCCAATCCGGTTTTAATTGAATGGTTCTCAAGGTGCAGCAAGAGGGAGGAGAGGGTCCGGTTTCGAGACTTTGGAAATGGTTCTTTGCTTTTTGCAGATGATGGTGGGCAGATGATGGTGGCCTGACCTTGAGTGGAGCTGATGCCTCCTTGCATCACAAATAGCCAGTTGAGGAGGTCAGGGCATCTGACAAGTACATTTACTGGTGCATTCCTTTGGAGGTTTTCCAGGCACATCCAACTGGTTGGAGACACAGAAACTGGAGAGATTATATATCTCATCTGGCTTGGGAACGCCTCAGGCTCCCACAGGAGGAGCTGGAAAACATTGCTAGTGGGAGGGCTGTCTGGACCACCTTGCTGCCACTGTGCCTTGAGAAGATAGATGATTTTAGTTTTTTTCACGAAGAAAAGGCTTGGTTTTCACATTATAAGAAAACATTTCTGTATTATTAGCAACATATGCAGCAGAGCCCTTCCATTACATTTTATGAGGATCTCATTATTCCCTGACGACAAAAAAAATGCAGCATTCAAGTCTGCTCGTCTCCCTGATGAAACTGGTTGTGCGCGTTTTAGATTTAGATATTTGTTCGACTTTATTAAAAATGATGGCATACAAGCCGGTGTCTCGATGCCGACATTAAAGGAAATACTAAGTTGCTCACCCTTCTTTCTGTTTTTCGCTGGGTGGGTCATATGTCTTCGAGACGTTAACAGCAGATTTCCGACATTGCTTGAAGGCATCATTAGTCCCTCCTCTCTTCGCTGAGCTGGTGCGACTGCGCGGTGCGGCGTTGCTGGTGCTGCTGGAAACTTTGTATCACTCTTTACATCTTGACCATCACTCGATAATGTCACATCCCACGGAAGACAAGCTGTTTCCGACCGTAAACTGGTGACAGGGGGAAGGGGACATGGCTGGTTTAGTCGCTCCTCATCACCGAGCCGCCGCACCCGGGGTCCGGGGTCAGTTTGTACCGAAGCTAGCCGGAGTTCCTGCCGCTGGACACTGCGTACTAGCCTAACCAGTCCACCACCTATAATAACAACTCCTCAATAAGACTCTCTAGCATGATGCTCACACTCTAACAAGAGGACAATTCTCATATCTGGATTGGATTTATCTGTCACCATGTCTGACCAAAACTACTATTGGACCGTGTTGCCGAGCTACAAAACTAGTTTTGTGACTGGGGCCATGATGAAAAGATCAAAAAGGTAAATAAATGATGTGTTGATTCTAAATATGTATCGATACAGTGCCACAAAGCAAAGGCGTCTGCCCTGCCTTGAGTTGTCATTAGCTCCTTGCTGAGCGGTGCCATCCTCTTTCTGGCAAACAGCAATGTGTTGAACGTTTATGGTGAGCTATTTGATTCACAGCACGTAAACGCAACCCCCACACTGTATGGAAACATTACCAGCGAGCAGCTCACATTGGAAATACCTCTGTGGTGTGTGTGATATCCCACAGTACGGTACTGTATGTGTCGGCTACATCCGCCCTAGTTTTTGTTTCCGACAGAAACGTGGCCATTGTAGAGTGTTGTGTATGGAGGCAGACTGCATTGTCTGCCACCAGCTGTCGCATAAAGCGACACATTCCAAATGCGGATCGATACACTGATGTGGTTAGTGGGGCTCTATTGATGTAGTTGTGCCTTATTTGTGATATACATGTAAGCAGCCCTCAAAAAGTAGAGCAGTCAAATGTGCCTGTCATGCCCTCTAATGACCTAAGGGTGTTTTGGGCTTTCAGTTAATTCTTAGGGACCAAATAATAATTGATGGATTTCCCCCCATTGTAGTATATTTCACTAGTAAATCTGTTTAATTATAGCTCAGTATGTCTTAGCTGCTGTCAATACCATACCCTGCAACCCCATTGATAATGAGTTTTGGGAGAAACCTCTCATATTTAAATATGTTATGTATTATGCTAATGACTCAGTGGCGTGTCAAACCATCCACTCCATAAAGCTTGGGAACATGCATCAGCCATGTAACCCATTAAACACAGCGTGACATTCAGTCAGCTCTGTGAATAAATGCCGCCCCTTCACCATCAGCAGACATGGGAAACATACAGGCCTGCATCTCAGTCAGTGGCCTACATTCATCATGCTACATGGCTGCCTTCATTGGCCATACAAACCAGTATTGTTAGTCCTACATTTGAGTAGCCCAATCACTGCGAAGTGTTGATGAAGCTCTCTCGTGCTCACGGTAATACAGTGATGCTTTCATGCCTATTTTGACCTAGTCTCTCTGTAGTGCGAAAAAGGTGTCTGTTTATTTACTTTCTGATAAGAAGAAAATGGTGCACACTCACAGTGTCGTCCTCTGGTTGGTTGGTGCGTTGTTGAAGCCAACCTCAAGCATTTATTGGCTCTCCCCTTCCTCTGTTGCTGTGCCGCAGCTGCCACTTTAACTGTTTTTTGGGTTGGGGGCCGTGTGAGTCTGCCTCAGCACCGACCCAGAAACGTCAGGACATGTAATCATCTCAGACCCTCAATTAGTTTAGGTCATTGCGAGAGAGAAAGAGATTTCAGGCTTTGACATCGTTGGGATGAAACAGAGAGCATGATGGGATTATATCTAGTTTATTAGGGATTCTCTTCTGTATGAAGACCCTGGCAGACAATGGGTGAGAGGCCTCCAGGAAACATATATGCACAAGCAGGAACAAGAAGTGGACAAATCAAAACATTGAAGTAGTTGCATCATATTGTCACCAACATATTTCTGGTTGAGTCATCGCACATTGTCAAGCATGCCAGATTTTAAACTGGTCTGCCCGTCTTGTCTTTACGGGATTTTCATTTGAAATAAAATATGTTTCCTTGATGGAGCTTATAAGAAGTGATTGACATATTTGAATGGTTTTGTTCGTATTGTCATACTGATATTTTGTACAAACTGTAAAGTCCACTGAGACAAATGTAACATTTGTGATATTGGGCTATATAAATAAACATTGATTGATTATATTGCATTTTATTGTTTATTTGTAAGAAAAGCTGCAAAGTAGCAATGTTGTGTATTTTAAGAAAATATACAGAAATCAAACAAATAATTTCTAACAAGATGAGCACATGTTTCAAGTTGAAGCTAAACAGAAAGAACAACCAACTTTCATCAAAACAACACAAGCAATGACCATAAACACAACAACAGCATGATAATAAAACGTGGCAATAAATGGATGTTGTATCGATATTGTCTTAGATAAGTCTCATTGGGTAAATATGTAATGAAAGCACCATAATCAACCCTACAATAACTTTGCAATATCGATATAAAGGTATGTGGTCAACAGTGTAGTTATTTTGGATTTTCTCCATGTTACCAAACTTAGAATCCATAGATGCATCAAATGTTCAACCTCTGACTGTGCAATGGAAAACAATTTGATAATTGATTTAATCACACACTCAAACTGATCTATATATAGATTGTTTACGTATGGATACAGACTGTATTCTTCCGTGGCGATGAATCTTTAATGGTGTGGAAAGTATGGCCTGTACAGTTATGTCATGGAAGTCATCGGGTCCATTTATTTCTTTACGTTTTTTGTACAAGACGGATGATTTATCGGATCAGGTGCTCCCACTGGTACAACCATTACTCTTTCAGATGTTTCTTATATTCTTACATACTTCCAGACACAGTACACATCATCTCATCTTCTTTAATACTTTAGTGTAGCACCCTACCAACTACTCCTTGTTATTCCCTGGGAGTCGATTATTTCCTTTTAGTAACTCCTGCAGCCAGAAACACTTTTTCTTTCATATAAGACAAACAAAATGCAGCCTATTTAATACGTGTTGACACCTTAGCCAAATGTAACAGTGCATACTTTCTGTTTTTTATATATATTTACATATGTGTGTAGCTATGTGTGTATGTATAAACACCAGTATCATGACATCATTGCAATTATCAGTGTTTTCTGTATCAGGATCAACAACTTAAGTTCATAGGTCGCCTGTTTTATTTCTCCAGACTGTTTACTGCACTGATAAAAGGCTTGGCGATTGTGTTTGTAATTGTCTTGCGTAACAAGCTTTTTCTCTCTGCTGTTTGTTTTCCTCCTCTCACAGTTCTCGTAACAACAAAAGAAGGAGTTTGGCGGTCGGGACCACGTCGCCCACGCTCTCACGACCCCTTTCACCTCTCCCACTTGCCACAGGTACTTGTGTGTTGATGATACTTGTGTGTGTGCTATTGTTTCAGACTCTTTACACATGCTTTACGTAGACACAAGAGGATGAAGATGGAATGAGAAGACCACCACATTAGCTGTTTTGTTGAGTATATGCACCTTAAGCCTTATTTAGTTTGTTGATGCATGTCACAAGACAATCACTAGTTTCCCTGTGGTTTGTTTATCAAGTTTCAATTAAGGCAGCAAGCCAAATGTTCGCACGACATACAATAGTTTTCCTCATGCCGATGTTGTTCATGAAGCTTTCTTTAGGCTACTCTTTCCGTCTTCAGCTGCCTGCAGTGCTATATGGAGACTCATTCATTTGCTGCACCCATTTTTCTTTTAAGTGACTCGGGGTGTGGCAGTGCTTGGCTGACATGAAAACCCTTTAGTGACCCTTTCAATAGTATCTAGTGTTGTGTGATCAACAACAAAACGTCCTGCTCTCTATGGGGTGATACTGTTAATGTAAGATTGGCTTTGTGCTGAACTCTGAAGTAAAGTCATGTGCAAAATAATCATTGAGCATATTTCAAATGTAAAACAAAAGATAGCTGGGGTAATGATTTAACATAATCATATATATAGTTTATTTAAGCTTGTAATCATTCTCACTGTTTGTAACTGTGTTTCTTCAGCTGGCAGCAGCCCTTCAGAAAGCCCCAGAAATGTCTCTGCCAGCACCTCTGCCAATTTCCAGTTTGCCCGCAGGTAAGGATTAACTCAAACGCTTGTTAATATGGACTTGTAAGGCAGTTGAGCTCAGCCACATAACCACAGAAATATTTTCCCTATCCAATACAAAAACTGGAGCATTACTAAGACTGATAAAATGCAGTGCAGATGCCGAGATTAAGTGCATATTTTACCATACGAGGAGGTTCATCTTCCAGTAGAGGTCACAAAACTATAGAAAGATGAAAACAAAAGACATAAATGCTAGGGATGCACGATATTGTTTTTTTGAAACCGATACCGATAACTTCCTGCTTCTCAAGACCGATACCGATACCGATAATAATATAATATATATTAAATGTACCTGTAGTTTTTGCACACCTGGTGGTAAAAAAAAGACTAGTAGTGAGCAAATGACATGAGCATTACTACTATGAACAAAACAAAGCCAAGAACAGTTTTGACTCTCATCAAGCGCCATCATTTCTATGATGAAGTTAGAGATCGTTTTAGCCCTGGGGTCGTCTCTGGCAAACTTCTTGCCTTTTTCAAAAGCCTCGTCGATAGGTAAAAGCCCCGGTGCCTTTGCAGCTGGCTTTGGATTCGCCGCTAGTTTAGCAGCGCAGGCGTCTTCGTACGCTTTTAACACACCATCGTAGCGATGGCGATGTTTCAGGTGACTAATCAGGTTGGAAGTATTATAGCTCGTTGCCTTTTTCCCTCCTCGTGGAACTTCTGCATTGCATTTGTTAATACAAATAGCAAGCGAACTATCTAACTCTGAAACTTTGAAATAGTCCCATACTACCGGCGAAATGTTTGTTTACTGTCCTGGCTTCACGGCCGCACACCATTTACGTCACAGCCAGGCATGAGTTAGGGAGCGCTGGATTTGTGAAAAACTCCCCTCTTCCTAAACCACTAATACCACAGTACTGGCAAAACGGGAGGAGCCGAGTGAAAAACAAGCGCCCCTCATCCCAATCCACCCAGTATTTTTTCTTTTTTTTTACCCAAAAAATATATTGTATATTATCGGGGCTATTAATACTGGTATCGGGTTTATCGGGATGACGTCATAATTCCTAATATCGGACCGATAATTATCGTGCACCACTAATAAATGCTGCTATTTTCTATCTAGGTTAATGCATAAAGTAAACAAGAGAAACACTGTCACTCATTTAAGGCAGTACAATAAAAAACATAAAAATGACATCTTTGA